ACATACCTATCTCAGGTATATGGAATCCAATACTTGAGCATCCTTTTCTATACAGAGATTTACAAATAATCATGTGAGAGCAGATGCTCAAATGCATGCCACTTTGGGATGTGTGTCGTGCTTTGTCAAAAGAAAGGTTCCAAGTGCAACCTAAATCTCAAAACCAGAACTGTAGACTGTATGAAACTTATTGCTAATCAAGAACTCACTGGTAATCTTGAAACAAAAATCATGGACCTTACCCCAATACTCCGTATCACCCATAGGCTTACAGCCATCAACAGACCTACTCCAGTTTTATTAAAGGCTAGAGATTCTTCAAATATGATGCCTGTATACCCTATACCAAACAGCAATGCCATAGCAAGATCCTGCAATTTGAGGCCATGTAAAGCTAAGAGAATTTATACTAGAGCATATTCAAAAATATATCCAGCAATGCATGTGATTTATTATAAAACACAAAGAAGTAGATTCTGGTAAGAGGGCATTCACGGACCTGATTAGCAGCTACCCAAGAGTGGTTAATTGCCACCGCTCCAGTTGCAGCTCCTGCAAATATTGCAAGAGCTTTAAGCAAGTCAGTCTTGGACTGGTTTGTGCCTTCAAAATATTGTGAACTAGTTTCTTCAAGTGAGCACAAGGGATCACAAGTACTGGGTTCTGGCGTCAGGTCCTGACAAGTAAAAACAATATCAAAGCAACACTATGAGCAGCATTGAGCATTGGCATACGAGTGACAAACTCTAGAAACTTTCATTTAATGCTAATTCTAGCTTTTCCCCACCATAATGTCAGCAACAATGAGAATGAAGCAAGGAAAGTAACCCATCAAAAAACCAGTTAGAATCCTCCTCGTTCTCGAAAGAGAAAGCATGATAATACATTAGATAGAGATAGAGAGAAAATTAATGATGAGTATAAACTATGGAGGTATGATGTGTGTCCTACTCACACATGTTGACCCCACATGAAGTCACTTTCTCTTGTATTTCTCTTAACGTAGAGGATTCAATTTGCTATAAGGTCCAGGAAGCTTTTATAGACCAAAAAACATGGGTACAATATGAAAACATGACACATGCCTATTTTTAAGTTATTACAGCGCCATGTAATGGGATTAAGAAGATTTTTTTTCCCCCATGTTATACTTCCGTTGAAGAACTTGATAGTAAAAGCCTATAGAACTATATGCATATGTAAGTTTCGTACTTCAGCACCCCACCCCTCCCCACCTGAATTAGAACAGAAGAGTCAACACAATAAATAATGCCGCTACCCCATAAAAAATTGTAATGAAAATATCAGTAAATTTTCGAAAGAAAACGATTGGATTAAATCAGGTTTTCAGTTTTGCCAACAAACATGGTGTATCCAGATTCATAAACAAGAAATCCCACTGAATGAGTAATCTGAGAACTTTGTTATATAATAGTAGAAGAAGAACCTCAAATTGTGAGTCAGATTTTTTAGGAGCTTGAGGCGGCTGAAACGAAGAAGTAGGACCTCTAGCCTTGTTTTCAGCACGTGCCAATACATTATCACCCAGCAACCTAGGAAGTCTGGTCCTACAACAAGAGGGGCCAACAAGGGGTCGACTTGATAGTGTATAATCAACAGTTCGAAGCCCATGAACTGAAGGGTGAACTGTGAGATTCCGCAGATGTTGGGATGGGGACAAGCAAGTCCCAAATGAAAAAGATGACATCCGTGCAAGTAGATTTAAGGTAGCAAAAAGATTAGGGAGAAGAAAAGGTATACTTACGAAAGTTGATAAGGGTTTATTAAGGAATAGCAATGGAAGTATGGGAGTGAAGTTCTTGGAATTTATCTACGAAATCAAAACGAAAGGAAACATGTCTTTAAATTGATCGAAGAACTGGCTGCTGTCGTGGCGTCGAGTGCTTTCACATGACGGTCATGAATGATATATTAGACAGGGTCCTAGTCTACTAAATATCTGGAGAAAATGCCAAAACCTCGTATTAGCAGTCATTTGAATTTTTAATATGAAAAGCAACTCTTTTAATATTTTCATTGACCATTGACCTTGGAATGCCATGTTAGTGTGCAACTTTAGGCTCAGTCGTACTTATAACATAATCAACATATCAATATCAACAAAAGCTTATGGGAAGGAGTATTCGTTCCTGTCAAAAGAAAAACAATTTATTCGAGGGCAAAGATAATGATGAACCGGACATATAATTTTAAATTTTTAGAGAAAATCGGGTTTTGTTTTTGGCCTGCAAAGGTATGCATTCATTGATCAAAAAATAAAGTAACCATAAAGATATTCCCCAAATTGCCAAAAGCAGAAGCAGTTAAGCAAAAACACAAGGAAACTAACACAAAAGCAAACGAAAAGAGATCGTGGAAGATACCAACGCTCAGCCAACGCCCTCGCGATCTGCAGCTAATGTATGCTGGCCATAAGAAAACACTGGAACATTTCTAGAGTCCTGGAGCAAAACACGTGCTAGAGGAGGTGGTGTTGTGAAAACCCAACCAACTGGTTCCAACTCCCTTGGAGCTAAACATGCCAGACAATCAGCAGCCAGATTCCCACAGGGCGAGTGTGAGAGAAAGTAACAGTGCTCAAAGACTCCAAAATATCCCAGAAATCTCTAAGTAAAGGCTGGTATCTCCAATCACATAAGTATAAATTCCTGCTGGTGCAAAGTTTAAAAGGTATGGCAAATCATCTAGCATCTTCATGTTCTTCCTAAGGTCACACACTTTATTTGGAGACTAGCTAATTCTTCCCTCGCCACTAAAGAAGCTCCTTGTAAGAGGAGACGTAGAACTGATCCAAAGTGTAACATTTGTGGCTTGCATGATGAATCTTTGGAGCATTCATTCCTGTCATGTGAGTGGGTGAAATTGTTATGGCCCACAAGAATTCATCTTTTAATGGTGGGTCTGGACCTAAAGGTGAGAGACAACACTAATGGGCCGCGATACAATAGGCTGCACAGGAAGCAAACGAATTCGGAGGCCTACCTGGAAGCTGCGTAAGACAACCCAGGATAAGGAGGCATAAAACAATCATCGTGAGAAAAATGGGCGGTTGTTGATTACGCTCGTATCCTCTCTGACATCTTTTCCCTCTGCATGCTGTTATTCTGATTTCATTTCTTTCTGCGTTACGTAATTGTTCTTATTTTGTAGTGAGAATACCGCTATTGACAGTTGCTATTTGCTGAATCAAACCTTCTTTGCTATTGTGATTTCGTATTACATAGAATATATTAATGAGTCTGTGACAGAAACCTGGGTGGTCAGGGTGTTATTTGAATATTAGAATTAACCCAATGCTTATTTGTAACATAAGGGATTGGCTCTACAATTTTATCTGCTCATCATCTCCTTTGAGTGATTATGGGAAAGCTTATGTGGCTTTGTTCTGCTGGAACATCTGGAAATTTCGCTGTCGGATGATCCACCTGATCCTGGAAGATTGATTAAGCAAACGGATGCAGGCCTTCATGAGTTTTAGAAGGCTAGAGGGCTGATTATTCAAATTCCTGAGTCTGGGTTGAGGAATGATGATTGTCACTGCTCTGCGCCTCCTGTGGGTTACATAAAAATCAGTTGTGATGGGGCATATGAGGGTCATAGTAAGAAAGCTGGTATTTGCATTGTTGTACATGATTGCCATGGCATGTTTCTATCTGGATGGAGGATGGTGTCGAAGTATTATTGCAGATTCTGGGTTTTTGGCCGAATTAAAGGCTGCTAAGAAGGCTCTTGAGTTAAGCTCATCTTATCATGATGTGGGCTTAATCATAGAGGTGGATTATATCGAAGAGAAAATCGTGTTTTCAGGCTATGTAAGAAACATTTTAAGACTCAAAATTTCAAAACATTGATTAAAAACCTTAGCCATTTATTGTCATGTAAGAAAAATTCCAATGATCAAAATGCTTTTATTTATATACAAATTGAAAATCCTCGGAAATTAAGTTGAAAATCCTAAAAACTCACCTAAAATTACTTTCAATTAAATTGTTAAAATATATACCAATAGTGTTAGTTCAACCATAAGTGACTAGTCCCTTATATAACGAATTAAAATTTGAATCCCCCGTGAAATAAGCGCAACCACACTTCAAACATAACTATACTTGTGAGCAGTTAAAAAAATTGTTGAAATACGTAGTAAGATGTGCAAGAGTTGGCCAAAAAAAAAAAATACAGATGTATGGGGAAATTGCTAAAATATGCCCAAGATGGGGAGAGGATAATCCGCAGTCTACTTTAAAAAAAGTGCTTTTTCCCTTTTAAAAAGAAACATGTTATTTGGATAATATATTTTATTTTAAATTAATTTTTTAAAAATTGTTAATATAGATTTGGTGAAAATCATGAGAAAAAAACTTAAGTGTTTTTTTAAAATGTGATTCTTTTGATTTTTTATATGATCATGCTATTCCAAAATTTTTAATGATTCTTTCTTTATATTTGTGTCACACAAAAAAAAAAAGCCTTTCTTTGTTTTTTTTACTCATGGGACTATTTTTCTACAATTTTTTTATTTTATTATTAGTATTTTAAGCGTGACTAAAGATGAATGGAGTTTAAGATTCAAATGAAGATTATATTGTATATTATAAATAGGACCATTAATCATCTTAATTTTCAATATTAATGTATATTGAATTATTTTTTATATAATTTTTTAACAAATTAAACTTTGTATTTTGTATTTCTATTATTTAACATATCAAATTTTATATTATTTAAAATTTTTATCATATTTTTTACACATTTTTGATATATTACATTTATATAATAAAAATTATAAATTATTATAAATTAATATTTTTTATAATTATACATTAAAAAACACGTTTTAATATATAATTTAAATAATTTTTAATTCACTAAATAAACTTTAAAAATTTATTTAAATATAAATTTTATTATAACAATTCACTTTTATTAATTTTTATCAAATTAATTTTTGTGCAGCAAAAACCAGTCGGTCAGTTATCTGCAGAAAACGTGAAGCCACTTCCCGTGATGAGAGCTGCTGACTGACTGGGGATTGAGCTCTGAGCCTGGGATGCGTGAGCCAGTTTCTCTTATCATTCCCATGGCCATGAATTCTCTACTCCCACTTTCGTTTCTGTGTGCCTTGGCCCTGGCGATTTCCCTCCACTTCCGAGCTGCTCTGCCGCTACTGCGGCTTACCCCACCATCCCCGGCACCGATTCCGTTGACTGCTCCATCACCAGCGGCGATTCTGTTCTTATTCCTCCTCGCCGAGAAGTCTATGATAATGGTCGAATATTCGATATCACTCACAAGTACGTCCCCGACATGCCAGTCTGGGAGTCTAGCTATGGCCTTGGTCGACACTTCCTCTGGCTCGAGAAAAGCATGAAAAATGGTTCTCGCGCGAATAGCTCGGCTATGAAGCTGGGGGTTCACACTGGTACCCATGTCGATGCGCCGAGCCACTTCTTTGACAACTACCTCGACGCCGGCTTTGACGTTAACTCGCTCGATTTAGAAGTCCTTAATGGTAAAATAATGGTTATCGTATCTAGCCTTATCCTTCACTTTAATTTTTCTCTGGGTGATGATGTCTTGTACTCGACCTGTATGGGGAAAGTTCCAGTTTTTTGGATGTCCCTCAGCGTAGTGAGTTACTATGTTAGCCCCATGTGTGTGATGAAATCTTTCTGTGAAATTTTAGGATAACGTTACCATTAACTAACCCCAAGACGGTGCTAGGCTTCCTCTCTTCTGGCAGTATTGGATGGTTCATCCCACTTCACACTGTAGTATTGCGTTCTTTAATGATCTTTTTCTGATTCTTCGTTTAGAATAGGTGAAATAGGAGGGTGAGTACAAGGAGGATATTGGATGAATATAAATATGTAGGCTTCAACCTATTGAGTAATGACAGTCTAAATCCTATCTTTCAATGAACAGAGAGAAAGCAACGGAAAATCATAAGGAATTGCCTTGCGGCATTTATAAATTGAGTTCACTGTCTACTTTCACTCTCATTGTTTACATGGCATCCAAACGACAGAGACGAATGTATTTCCTTACTCTCCTTATCATTCGTGCCACTCTGCTCCCTTCACTTCCTTTTTCGCTCTCACGTCGCTGAACAAAGAATTTGTAATTTAGCGGGGTGTGTGTTCAGTTATCTGTTCATCCATTTATAGAGTAAACAGCGTTTCGTTTGTTAGATTTGTGTCAAGCTTTGCAGAGTGAATAGTGGCAAAAGCATTTTGCTAGGGCATCCTACTGGCCTCTAAGCTTTGGTTGTCTTTGCAGAGCTCTTTCTAGATTCTGTCTGTTTGATTGAATGATTTATGAAAGAATAGGTGCAGTTTAGCTCAGATTGCTAATTATTACATGTTCAAACTCAAGCTACAAGAATTTTGAGCCTGCATCCGGAGTAAGAAAATTGATTTGAGCTATTCTTTTGGCATCTATAATTCGTCAATTAACCAGCTCAGGTGATTTTTATATATGCTGCTGGCTTTCTCAGCGTTTAATATTGTCCTTTCTTAGTGTATTATTTTCTGTTTTAGCTTTATGCTCTTAGGCTTTAGAAAGATCATGGATTCCTTGCATATTTATGTTCTGTCTGGTGACTTCTTCCTCATGAACTCAGTCAGTAGTTAGATGCTTTATCCAATTACGTTTTGGATCTTCTGGAGCTTTTACCAATCCATTTGATAGGATTTAAATTGCATAAATGCATTGGAAGATGAAAATTATTCCCCTCTCTCTCTCCCCAATTCATTACAGGAGTAATCTGCTTGATTGTATTGGCATAGATGCTAACATATAACCTATTTCTATCTGTAGGCTATGCTCTACTGGTCGATGTTCCAAGGGATACAAACATAACTGGTATGTACAATTTATGAGTTTTCTTTGAAGACTTCTTATTTGTTTGCTATGTTGGATTCTGCACATGCTGATCAGAATTTGTGGCCAACTTTACTAAAATTTGACATTTTTCTGATGAATGAGAATTATTGTTTATCTATTAACAACATTCTTTTTAATTGCTCTGATTATTTATGTATAATCAAGAACCTATAAATTGACAATTATTTAGAGATGTGAATATTAATTTTCCCAACATATCAAACTTTGTGGTTAATAAATACATTAAAGGGTACAATATCATACATATTTTGACAAATGTGCTCTCTAGCACGGGCCTGTTAGGAGGTTTCTTTCTCATAAACACACATTTCTTCACATTTGCTATTTTCTCTGTAGTTTAAAACGTTTCATATTTGTGTGAAATTTCTCATGGAATTTTAGCTTCCTCAATGACTGTATATTAGATTGCAACTTTCCTTTTTTACAGCTGAAGTTATGAAGTCCCTGAGTATTCCTAGAGGTGTACGCCGTGTGCTCTTCAGAACATTAAATACTGACAGGTTATTTGTATAAATCACTGGTATTGTTACTGCTGTGGGATTTTTTTGTTGTTGTTGGTCTTGCATAAAAAGTTAACTGAATTTATTTCTTAATTGATATGTTTATTCAATTCTGGCAATTTTGACCTTGAAGATCCAAAATAGAATCTTATGTTGCCGTCATTTAGCTTAGTGATATTTACAAGCTCATTTGAAGCCACATGCGAACTTAAACTTGTTAAAATGTTAGGCGGCTTATGTTTAAGAAGGAATTCGACACAAGTTATGTAGGGTTCAAGGAGGATGGAGCAAAATGGCTGGTCCAGAATACTGACATTAAACTTGTAGGTGAGATATATATCTTAAAAGTTTTTGGCTACTTCTTCTCAAGGGCATATTCTGTGTCCTTTTTCCCGAGTCAAATGACTGAAGTTATCTTTAATTTTGGCACCTGTACACAATGCATGTCTAACTCCATTTATGTATGCATTTTTCAATATATAAGTTTGAGTCATGCCCCTAGCTCTATGGCACGTTACCAGGCTAACTCTAGTATCTCTACGTCATGGAATCAAGATATGTCATCTACAACAAATTTAGCAAAACAATGATATGTGGCTATTAATTTTTCTGTCTTTCAATCAAATACTAAAGGTTAAGTCCAAACTCTTTTGTTTGTTTGTTATTGTTTGTGTGTGTGTGTGTGTTCAGTCTTTTGAAATTCAGTCAATGAAGAAATAATAATGGGCAGGGCTTATCAATTGTATTTCCTTATTGCAAGATGACATTTCTTCTCTTTGGCATTTTTCCTCTCTCTACCAATTTAGTCAAGTCTTGCGCTATGAGAAAATTTAGTAAGATTACCCCTGCTGATCCAATTTAGACAAGAGAAGAGGTTAATTGCAAACTTGAGTTATGGAGGAGGACATTGGAGTCGAAAGGTTTTCGTCTGAGTAGAAGTAAGACGGAATTTTTATATTGTAAATTTGGTAAAGGACTATTCGACAATAATTTGGAAGTGAAATTGGGAGATCAAATTATACTTCAAGTGGAAAAGTTTAGATATTTGGGAGCCATTATTCAAAATGATGGCGAAATCAGTGGAGATATTTCACATAGAATTCAAGCTGGGTGGTTTAATTGGAGAAAAACTAAAGGAGTTATTTGCGACCGTAAGGTGCCTAATAAACTTAAAGGAAAGTTTTATCGCACTGCTATCAGACCGGCAATGTTATATAGTAGTGAATGCTGGGCTCTAACGGGACAGCAAGAGTATAAAGTTGGAGTAGCAGAGATGAGAATGTTACGATGGATGTGCGGACATACACGTAAAGATAAAATTCGAAATGAGCACGTACGTGAAAAAGTAAGAGTGGCACCTATTGAGGAAAAAATGGTAGAAAATCGGTTGAGATGGTTTGGGCATGTACAAAGAAGACCAAGGGAAGCACCAGTGAGAAGAGTGGAACATATAACTTTGAGTCCGATTAAGAGAGGTAGAGGAAGACCTAAGAACAACACTCTTGGAAGTTGTTGAACGCGATCTCTTAATTAATAATATTCCTAAAAGCTTGATAAATGATAGAGCACAATGGCGTCTTGTAATCCATGTAGCCGACCCCACCTAGTGGGATAAAGGCTTGTTGATGTTGTTGTTGTACCCCTGCTGATCCAATAGATAGCAGCCAAGTTTTTGTTTTCTCGAACAACAGTTACTATAATGCCTATTCACATTCCTGTGATGCACTGTAGGAGTTGATTACTTATCTGCTGCTGCTTATGATCAATCAGTTGAATCACATCGTGTATTTCTGGAAGGAAGGGTAAGAAATTTGTCTTATTATATTAATTAATGCGTGTGTAACTTCACTCTATTCACAAGCTAATTGCCCATCCCTTGATTTACCTTTTAATGAAAAGAAAACATCACATCTCATTAGTCAAAGCACATAAGATGTCACATCTATGTTTGGGTTTATGTTAAGCATTTGAAATCCTACAATTTCCTGACTTGTAGTATCAGTAATGATGGGTTGTGTACTAATTGGTAATTTTGGTTATCATTGCGATCCTTGCACTTATGAATACTACATTTTGTTTGTACCCAAGATAGCTGGGAAATAACAACAAATTCTCTTCTTTTTTTCTGTACGCTTATGTTTTTGGCCACTTCTTTTTCTGTACATCTGCTTGACAAATTTTTGGACCATTTACTTCTGGTTGCTGACCTGTTGATAATTGGTAGAAGTTTTAAATCCTAAAAATTATTATTGGCAGTTTTTTTAGTAGATGTTTGTGTTTTATTGATTAACACACTTACAGTCAACACAAGTTAATCCACCCTCAGGAACAGTTCAAAATGATTGCTTCACCAAATCTCTCGGCCTCTATTCATTTGCTTAGGTTCAGCTGCAGGCTGATGAACTAATCTCAATTTGCATCAAGTTTTCTTTTCTGCTTGTTTGAGGAAGTTGTTGTCTCTGGACAAATATATATATTTTTTTAATCTTGAAATATAACTTTAGGTTAATAATAGATAGGGCTTGAGAAGACTTGATAGTGGCTAGTATGATTTCTCAAATATCCTTGTATAGACAAAAAGAAAAGAGAAAAAAGAGCTCATTTCTTGCTTAGACAGGACCTAGTATCGATAAGCAATGTGCTAAATGATGTTTTTTTTTTCAAAAAAAAAAAAAGGCAAACAAAAACAAACAATGTGCTAATAAAGCCAAATACTTCTCAGGAAACCATTCTTGTGGAAGGCTTGAAGCTCGATGATATCCTGGAAGGAATATATACGCTTAACTGCTTGCCCCTTAGGTTGGTTGGTTCTGAGGCATCACCAATACGATGCATTCTTATCAGATAATTAGTCCATGAGTTTGAGGTGGCTGAACCTGGGGTATGTTCATAATTGTCCATTTAGTTCACCACATGTTTTTGTCCTCTTTTGATTGGATGTGACCTGTTTTTGGATAGTGTTCTATTCATTGCCTTTATTAAGAAGTCAAATTCTGCTGCAGAATGATTAAATTGATGCAGGAAACAATGGGACGAAGGCTGACTTATGTAGATCACTAGTGTTTATATGAAGCGGGATGATGCTTGATACTTCCCCAAACTATCATCTTTTTGTTGGAAAAAGCATGTTTTCCTTGCACGAAGTTTAGGAATGAGCTACACTGGCCTATAAATGGGGTGACTTATAATATGCAAATTATGTGGGCCAAATGAAAAAAAGGTTGTGTTCTTTTATATGCAGATTGGAATTTGGAAACTAATATGGCTCTCGTCCATAGATGTAAAAACTTTTCAGCATATTTTGTTTGAATAAATTAAGTATGCGTTTGGTTTTTAATTTGTCAAAAGTTCATTTGGTAAAAATCAGTTTAATGAAAGTCAGTTGTTGTAACGAAATTTATGTTTGAATGTATTTTTTTAAAAGTCAGTTTGATACATTAAAAGTTATTTGATTTGTGATAGTGAAATGTGCTTTTGAATATACAATTACCAAAAAAGACATTTATTTATAATATTTATAATTTTTATTATACAAATGTAATATATTCAAAATATTTAAAAAATGTAATAAAGATTATAAATAACATAAATTTTAATCTATAATGTTAAAAATTTAATTTCTAATTATTTTTATTTTTTAATTTATAATTTTAAAAGATGTAATAAAGATTTGTAATTTTTATTATACATTAATGCTAAAAATTAACATGATTAATTACTCAATTTATAATATTAAAAAAATTAATACCTAATTATTATTATTAAAATAATAATTATATTTTTAATGAATTAACTATTTTTTAAATAAAAAAATAAGAGATTAAACTTAGGATAATATGATCAAATAAATGTTACTTTTTAAATTCACTTTTCAAAAATTTCAAATAGTTACGTTTCAAAAATTCACTTTCAGTTACTGTTTGAATGTGCTTTTAGGATGTGCTTTTCTGTAAAATATTCTATTCAAACAACTTTTAACTTTCTGAAAGTGAAATTTTACTTTCTTAACGTGAAATGGAGGAAAACCAAATGGACCCCAAGTAAGTTGCTATCCATTCCAATTCCTTGTCACCTGCTACAGGTAATAAAATTCCGAGAAAAAACAGTGCTCTGAGCATCTATTCTAGATAAGGCTTGTGGTGCTTTTAGCTTCTGCCTTTCAGATTTCTCCATAATGAATAGCATCTGTAAGAATCCAAAGCACACCAAGTCCAAGCAACATCCATATAAGGAGGTAAGCCTATTAGGGCCTTGAAAACTGGCACAAACACCAAGGCTCCTACACCTATACAGAGAAAACAAGCTGTCCTCGAGGAGCCGTCTCTTCAAATGCCAAGACGGTGGGAGAATCACGTCCCTTACCATTAACTTAACTTTAAAGAACAAATAATTGTCGAAGTTGTTATTCTTAAGCTTTTGAAATCAAATTTCCTGGAGTACTTTCACTCTAAGAGTACTAGTCAATGACAAAAGAGCCAGAGGGAGTGCTAGAGAAATGGCCGAAGGTACAAGCAAACCCTGCAAGCAAGGAAATGCAATTATGGATGCCTGATTGTTCTGCATGACATGATTTACATGTTTGCTGATATTTCCCGAAAATCAATACTTTATACAGGGTAAATAACACCTGCACTGGACTGAAATTAGTGCTCATGCAATCAAAGAGCAGAAACAAGAGTACAAGTGTATAATATAGAATATCTAAACCTCAGTCAGCAAATAATATACTTTGGTAACCACTTCCTCATAGGATTCCTTAAGGTAGTCACCAATTCCAGTTCATTCTGCCAGTATAATTGATTATCAGGTCAAACTATGCCATAATACAAACTAACATGTCGTACTGTAACAATTTGACAGGAGTTAACCTTCATTGTTGGCAGTGTAGGCACATGACCATGTTTCCACAACATGATAATTGTAACATTTAGAGCCAATAATTTGAGCAAGTTAGTGTCAATTCGAATCAAGTTTAAAATACTCGAATGTGTAGAAAAATTTATATAGCCAAACCAACCCTAGTCCTAACCCCTCAGGCTTTCAAGCTGGCACGAATAGTCAAATTGTTAAATATTATTTCATTTTATTTATTATTTTTTTCTAATTTCAATTTTCATTTAAAAAAATTAATATTTTAATTTTTATCTTATTTTAATATTATTTTATTAATAGAAAGAAAGAAATTTGAGTATTCAAACTAAACCCATTTGAGTTCAAGTTTGACCCAAATTTTTTTCAAAATAAATGAGCAACAAAGGCCAGGGGGTCTCAAGGAGTGCCTCCCCAAAATTTAGCTTTTTACTAAGAGATTTCAATGAATTGTAAGCTAATTCATTCTTCTTCAAGGCTCTTGCTTATTTCAAACCATCTAGAACAATTACTGACTAGGATTCTTAGAACTGTTGTTATAGCTGCAAATGCTGGTGGTGCTTGCACTCCCATTGGTGATGTTAGGTAGTAATGTGGGCTCATATAGCTTAATATTTTTTGTATGAATATAGTTCTTTTTGTAATTTTCTTGTAAAAAATTATTCAAGCTGCCTGAACAAGCCCAAAGTATAAAAAAAAAAAATTCTAAACTCCCAAACCTAGATTTTTTGAGTTAATCAGGCCCTTGTTGTAAATGAAAATTAACTTCCATTATAAGTTTACCAAAAATGACCTCAAAAATATAAAAAATAAAAACTCAATAAAAATTGTCCAAAAAAATAGAGAAAAGAACCAAAATTTTTTTTTTGATCATTTTCTCTTAGAACTGTTGTTATAGCTGCAAATGCTGGTGGTGCTTGCACTCCCATTGGTGATGTTAGGTAGTAATGTGGGCTCATATAGCTTAATATTTTTTGTATGAATATAGTTCTTTTTGTAATTTTCTTGTAAAAAATTATTCAAGCTGCCTGAACAAGCCCAAAGTATAAAAAAAAAAAAATTCTAAACTCCCAAACCTAGATTTTTTGAGTTAATTCAGGCCCTTGTTGTAAATGAAAATTAACTTCCATTATAAGTTTACCAAAAATGACCTCAAAATTATAAAAAATGACCAAAAAATTTCAATAAAAGACCTAAAAATAACAAAAAATTGTCCAAAAAAATAGAGAAAAGAACCAAATTTTTTTTTTGATCATTTTCTATAATTTTTGAGGTCATTTTCAATTATTTTCTAATCAATTAATGGTTAAAATTTATTTTTGTTAACAACAAGAGTCATATTGCACCGTTTTAAAAGTTGAGAGAATAATTTATATAATAAATGAGTTTAGAATTTATAGTGCTATTGGACCTAAAATTCAAATAGTAATTTGCTCATTTATCCAAAAAAACAATTCAGTCTCCAAATGTATGGAGCAGAAATTTTGAGGAACTGCATCTCTAATGGAGGAATTAGATTGAATTTGTAGTAGCTTACCCCATTAACATTTTATGAAGAGAAAAGGCTCACGGATACAACCAACTACAAGTTGTTTACCGGGGAAAAAAATCAAGATCCATCAACAGGTTATATTAGCACAGACTCTATCTGAAAGAATATATTAAGGCTTTGGTGCTGGGTGTCCCTTGGCGACATTTAAGCTTATTATAACTAATCTACTCACCATTATAGCAATCATATTGTCAAATATTAAGGTCTTGTTTCTAACATCTCATTGTAAGTCAACTTTTTACCAACAGCAATTCCCAAACATTAAAAGACGGAATATTTGAAAAAAATTTAATCCAGAAATGAAATACAGAAACTTGAGGCAAGGTCATCCAAAAATGCTGTGTGGTTGAACTAAACCTACTAAAATCCCCTTTGGTGTATAATTCTACCAAACAGTTCTGTATATTCAGTCAAAGACAGGTTATCGATGCACAAAAATTGCAAGCAGTGGTTTCTGTATAAACCCAAAAAAGGCCTTATTACAACATTAATGAATTTGAAACAACTAAAACAACAGAACTCATGTTCATTCATAAAAACAAGCAACACAAGAACCAGTCACTTCTCTTCGCAGTTAATGTTGCATAAGACAAAAAAAGCCATCTAAGGTTGAAAGCATATCCATAACCACGAGTTTGGCAGATCAGAGATCTAATGTGAAAACAGGAGATCCTTACAATCACCATTCACTAGAGGATTGCACAAAAATTGTGATTTAACTTACACGGGTAAGGATGACCAAATGGTCCAACAATTTTAAGACAGGACAGAGAATGTAAATTTATAGGAACAAACCACAAATGTTTTAGTTGTTTTAACTTTTAATCCTTGTCAAGGCTTCATTATCCTTGGGAAATATGCCTGAGAAACATACCTCTGGGAAAATCAGAAGGAGAATTGTTACAGTTATATCCCACATGTTCGACTCACACATGTTGACCGCACATGTAGTCACTTTCTTTTGTATTTCTCTTAATGTAGAGGATTCAATTTGCTATAAGGTCCAGGAAGCTTTTTAGACCAAAAAACATGGGTAAAATATGAAAACATGGCACCTGCCTATTTTTAAGTTATTACAACGCCATGTAATGGGATGTTTGAAGATTTTTTTTCTTCCATGGTATCCTTACATTGAACAATTTGATGGTAAAAGCCTACAAAACTATTTGCGTATCTAAGTTCTGTACTTCAGCACCCCACCCGTCCCCACCTGAATTAGAACAGAAAAGTCAACACAATAAATATAGCGCTACCCCATAAAAATTGTAATCATGATATGATATCAGTAAATTTTCGAAAGAAAACGATTGGATCAAACCAGTTTTTTAGTTTTGCAAACAAACATGATATATCCAGAGTCATAAACAGGAAATCCCACTGAACGAGTAATCTGAGAACTTCGTTTTATAATAGTAAAAGAACCTCAAATTGGGAGTCAGATTTTTGAGGAGCTTGAGGCGGCTGAAACGAAGAAGTTGGAACCCTAGCACTGTACAGAAACAATGCGCTGGCAGGTTTTTTTATGCGCAACGCCGCCAATACCGGCGTTTAGGGGAAACGCCGGCACAAACGCCGCCAGTTCACCCCGACTGCCTAAAAATTGGCGGGGCAATGATCTATCAGGTACGTTTCCTCCCTCTTTCCTCTCATTTTCAATTTTCTACTTTTTATATTTTTCCTTTTATGTTTATAATTTTTCGTAAAAATATTTGGAGGCTGCTGAAATATTCTACCAGTAATATTTGACAAGGGAGCTCTTCCGTCCTGGTTAGTAATTTTTTTATTTTACATTTATGTTTTATTTTAATAATTTTTTAGTATATGTAATTAATTATTTTATTATAATTTTAAATTTTTAGAATATGCGTGTGTTCAAAATTAATGAATGAAGTTAGAGAAATTAGTTAATGTGTATG